TGATTTTTCTCTGCACAGTCAGTTTACTGAAGTGCAGTTAGAGATCTTACTGGTACTGCATAGTAATAATGTTTAGGGGAGCTAAAAATAGTCCCATAAAATTGCTACAGGAAAATCTAATCACTGATTTCACGCCAGCGTGCACCCCTACCCCCTTGGGGTCCAGGGGGGACCAGAGGCCTCGTGGCTGCTGAGGGTGCTGGAAGCTTCGCTGTGGGACTGTCGCCTCAGGCCTCGAGGTCGTGAACCGCTGTGCTTGGCCATGCCCCGCCATAGGGCGTCTGCGTGGGTGCGGGTGCTGGGGTGTGCATGGCCACGCCTGCCCTTCTGTCCGTGTGGGCTCGCAGATGGGTCTGTGGGCGGAGGGCAGCCCCAGGATACACGACCGGCCCTGACCCTGACTGCGGGAGCTTGTCCCGGCTCTCCCAAACCATCCCTGCGGCCTTGGCCGGGCCTCTTCCCCCACGCGCTCCGTCGGATCCTCCAGCGTGTGGTGCGGGTCCCCGAGCAGCGCACCGCGTGTCCTGCGTGTCAGACACCAGCCCACTGCTTGGCTTGGCCTGTCCCCCTGCGGGTCTCTGCTTGCGGACGTGCCCGGGCCCTTGGTGGGGCCGTCATTGCTGTGGCGCGTTGGCCTCACCCAGAGCGGTCAGCACAGTCTGCGCACAGCTGCTGCTCCAGTCTAGCGATGAGGGGGGCCCTGCGATTGGGGCCAGGGGCCAGCACCACCACCAAAGCAGGCTCAGCGGGGGCAGACGAGGGCAGCGTGGGCCTGAGCTTGGGGGAGACTCCAGAGCTGGCACAGGTCCCCACGGGGCCAGCAGGGCCGGTGAGGGCCAGGGCCAGCCCCAGCCTTGCTGTGCCGGGACAGGGCCAGCCAGACAGGTCCGAGCGGTGCCCCGTGGCAGGATTGATTGAATCCTGTGACTCAGAACCCCCAGGACACACCGTGTAGTGTCTGCTCTCCGTGAAGCTTAGAGGTGCCGGGGGCCACCCTCCGGGCAGTGGCTGGGTGGGGGGCTGCCGCCCTGGGACCCCAGGCCTGCACCAGGCCTCTGGCCTGCCCGAGCCGGAGGAGAGCCTGTGGTGCTGCCGCCTTCTGGGTGCACAGGGCCGAAGCCTGCCGCCTGGCGGCTCGCCCTCTGCCAGGCCGGGCTCCCCACTCTTCCAGGTGCAGGAACTTCTGCCTGGGGCCTCGCCTGCCACCCCTGGCCTGTGGCCTCCAGCCCAAGAAAGTAAGGGTGTCTGGCTGTGGGCAGGATGGAGCTGGCCCAAGTCCAGGCCAGCAGGGAGGCCCAGTCACTGATATTTCAAGGGTTTGGCAGTTCAGTTTTCTTGTTTTTAAAAAACACAAGAAACATAGTGGGTTTACAGAAGGTGCGGTGCGTCGAGTGACTGGCTGCCCGATGCATACTTGCGCTGTGTGTGGGAAAGATATGTGTGCAGAGGTGGCCTGCATTTGTCCTGAGGCCCTTCCAGAACCCACAGAGGGCGGAGGCAGGGCCTGGAAGGAGGCCTTGGTGGAGCCCGCTGCCCAGGTCTGCAGTGGCCGGTTCGCCGCGCTTGCTCCGCAGCGTGTCTGCCCTTCCACCCATCTGTCCTGTTCTGTCCGTTCTGATTACACATGCTCGTTAGAAAGACAGATCCCAGCCCAGCCCAGTGTCCCCAGAGGGGCAGGCTGTTCCCACGGGTTTCTGGTTGGTAATGAAATGTTAACATGTTCCGTGTATCTGCGCCTGCTCTGATCGTGAGCACAGCAGCCCAGCGTGTCTCACCCCAGGGCTCCGATGAGGGACTTCAGAGGCTGGCCCCCAGGCTAGAAACCGTGTCTGTGGTCTTACCTGATCAGAAGGTCCTAGAAGCGGTTCCTGCCCCTTCTGTCTGGACAAGCGGCTGTGAGAGTGGGGCTCACGGAGACTCGGGACGCGCACGGTTGAGTCACGCAGCGGCAGGCTGCCTACTTCTTGCAGGAGGAGGCGTCCCCCAGTGATCTGGGGGGAGAGAGCCCGGTGCTGTCCATGGGGATTTGAAGATGTGTGTGGCCTGTAGCAGGTGTGTGGTGTGTGCACACCGGGCATGGAGAGGCTGGGGTAGGGCCCCAGGGCCTGTCCGGTGCAGCTGTGGCTGAGACCCCCGTCCTGCTCAGAGACCCCACCCCGGCCCGCTGCCCAGGCCATGTGAGTGTGAGCGTGCTCTGTGAACATGTGTACATGTGTGAGTGTTGTGCGTGTGCGGTGGGACGCCTCCAACTCCCGCTTCCTCACCGTGTCCACACACACTTCGGGTTGTGTCCGCACCTGCCCTGGCGTGGCCCATGTCCCCCAGGGGCCCAGGTGTTCAGAGAGGGTGTCTCTGGACAGAGGTTAGTGTGTGACTCTGTGAACCCTCCCCTGTGCGGGTGCATCTCATCCAGCCGACCGAGGGCCTGAGCAGAACAGGAAGCCAGAGCCTCTCCTGCCTGCTGCTTCGAGCCGGGCCCGGGGAGAGAGGCCCCAGCAGCCTTGGGGCTCCCGGGCCTCCCAGCTCCTCACGGAGAGGCTCCCTGCATACACACGCACACTGCTCTGTGTCTCTAGAAAGCTCTGCCTGACACGCCCCTTACAGCATGTTGCTCTGTTTTCCGCTGGGCCACCCTCTGTACTGCGATGGAGGCCGGGGCCAGGCAGGGCCCCCGGGGGGGTGAGGTTGTGAGGCTCAGGCTCCCCGCACTTGGCTGGCAGCATCCAGGGTGGGGGCCTCGCCGTTCTCTAGGGCCTGTGTGGGAGGGAACGGCCTGTTAGCGGCGACAGCTGCCTAGAACAGGAGCCTGATAGCAAGGACTTGGAGCGATGGACCGTCTGGAAGGAGGCACGGCCCTCGTGTGCTGTGGGGGCACCAGGAGCCCATAAGCGTTAGGTGCCTGGCGTGTGCAGAGCGGCTGCAATCTTCACCAAGACTTTCCCGGCCCCGGAGGGACTAGCCCGGGTTTCTTCCCCAGCGAAGCCTGTGGCTGTACACCGACCAGTGCGGCCAGGGAGGCAGGCGAGAGAGAGGGCATGGAGCTCCTCGCCACCTCAGGGCCTTTGCACTGGTTGCTCCTGCTGGGGCTGCCCTCCTGTCCGTTTGGGCCACTCCCTTCTGAGCCAGCCCCTGGTGGCTACAGAGCTGAGCTGGCATAGACTGCCCAGCACCAGCTTTGTGTACGCAGAGGTGGGGGGGGCCCACAGGGTCCAGAATCAGCCTGATACCCACAGGTAGGGCAGGAGCAGGGAGGTCTTGGCGTGAGCAGGGCCGCCACGTCAGGGTGTAGGGGAAGCAGCCCCTGCGGGCTGAGATGAGCAGGGGCTCCGAGGGGTTCAGAGGGGCATGGGGACGTCTGACTAGGACTCCAGGAGAGACTGTAGAAATGCCAGCGGCCTGTGGGTGTCCCTGGGGTCTGATATTCCAGAAGGTGGGATTGGGGAAGGGTCCGTCCCGTGTCTGGGAAGTGAGGGGCCACTCGCTGCCTGGCAGAAGCCCTTGGAGCTTAGGGCAGAAGCTGGCATCACACTTGGGGCATAGCTTCTGCAAGGGCCCGTGAGCGGGGGTCCCAGAACGGGTGCCGGCCTGGGGAGGGGGACGGGTTCAGGAGGGTGCACACTCAGCGTGTCATGTCAACTCAGGATGAGAGGCTTCGAGGGGCTGTCCTCAGTCTGTGACTGTGGCTTTGGACCCCTCAGGAGGAGCCTGGGGGTGTGGAGCGCCCCCCCCCCCCCGCCCCGAGTGAGGAGGAGTGTGAGAGGTTGCTCCCAGCCCAGGCTGTGGAGTCACATGTGGCAGGACAGTCGCGGGAGCTTCCGTGCCTGGACGGACAGTTCGAGTCGTGCAGCGTTGTGGGGCCGCAGGGCCTGGGTTCGAGGACCTCACAGGCACGCACCGTGTGTCCCTGTCTCTGTTGCCAGGCCAGGGGACCACAACAGACCGGGATGTCGGTCCTTGCTGCCACCTGCCCCAGTGGGTTGAGGCCTCTGCGGCTGGGGCCGGGTGCCCGGCTGAGAGCAGAGGCCAGGTCCCCCTAGGTCCTCAGGAGGTGTTTCCTATGGGGACGTGAGGACATCACCTGGGATGTAGGGGAGCGTCTCAGCCACGGCATCGCTTTCATTCAGGCCATCTTCTCCTCCCTCTTGGGTAAATGCTTTCAGAACCTTCCGGGCCCCTTTTTGCCAGTTCCTTCCCTCTTCTTCAGCAGCCCAGTGGGGATGGTGCCTCCCACTCCACCCCATGGACCCAGGCGAGAGGCTGGCCGGTGACCCTCCAGCTGCTCACCACAGGCACTGCCAGGCCTTCTGGGCCCGGGGCTCGCTGGCGGGACTGCAGGTGGGCCGGGTGCGGGGATCCCGCGGGGCACGAGAGAGCCCCCTGCTGGTGGCGTTGGCACAGCACGTGCCCAGTGAATCCCCACCGTGTGTCTGGGCACCAGGAGCGGCTGTGAACAACATGGGCACAAGTCTCTGTTCTAGGGAGGGGCCTGGGGTCCCTGAAGGTCTGCACGCCGGCCGAGGCTGGGGCTAGTTTCTTAAGACAGGCCTCCGTGATGCCCGGGTGCCGGGCTGCGTGCGGCGGGGCAGATAACTCCATGGGTTGCTCAGGACCAGGGGACAGCTGCCATGTGCTGTGGTGACGGCCTGTGGTTCCAGAACCCAGTGCGGCCGTTAGTCTCAGCACCTGCTCTGTTTTGGGCCAAGGATCCCGTGACCGGGTGGGGCCCCGTGGGAAACCTACCCCCTTATCCAGCTTTGTTTCAGCATCACCTCCCAGCCCCCGCCCCCCGCCTGACAGGCCCACGCAAGTTCCCCTGCCCCCCTGCCCTCTCCCTGAGCTGTGGTCCCAGCAGGGGGCCTGGCGCCTCCAGGTAGGTGCTGTCACACACGCGGGGCCCGCCCTCCGAGCACGGCACGGTCTGACGTGGTATCTCTGGTGGGATGACATGTGGGGTCGTGTGTCACTGTCAGTTAACCAGCCGTGTCCTTCTTCCCTTGCAGAAGGACATGGCCCTGAAGCCACACGAACGGAAGGAGAAATGGGAACGTCGCCTCGCCAAGAAGCCCCGCGAGTCAGAAAACTGCCCGTCTACAGAACCGAGCGAGAACGGGCGGCCCCTGGAGATGGGCGGCCCCGAGCAGGACCTGGAGCCTGCGTGCGACCGGGGGAAGAAGGTCCCCCTGCAGCCCACCAAGCAGGTGAGCACTGGGCCCCGCCCCACTCGGAACCAGGCCTCCGTGCCCTCGGGGCCACACCAGCACCTGGACACCACCGTCGGCATCCGGGCCCACCTGGCAACGTGCTCCATCGTTGCTGGGCAGGGGGCACGTGGACTGGGGCCCCAGGCAGCTGCTCGCCGTGAGCCCAGGTCCTCGGCAGACAGAAGACCCGCCCTCGCCGGGTCACAGCCAAGAGAGGCCAAGCTGGGAGTGCAGGGACCGGGGGTGGGGGAGCGTGCACTCGGGGCAGGAGGGCGCACCCGCTGCTAGGCCGGCCCCGTTTCCCCATCGCGTCTGTCAGGCTCCGCCGACCACGGGGTGTCCAGCGTGTCTGCAATGCGCGGGGGCCAGGTTCGGTGCTGGGCGTTCTCCATCTGTTAGACTTCCGTAGAACGCAGCGTACCTGTGAGGTGTGGGGAGGGTCACGTGACTGTGGTCAGGGGTCCAGGTGCGGGGAGCAGCCCCCCTCCCCGCCCAGGGGCCTCCCTCCACGGCGGGAGGGGCCGTCTTCGCTGTCCCCAGAGCCCAGCCGGGACGGGGTGGCGAGCCTGGGACTGGGGGCTGTGTCCCGGGTGCCCGCTCGGCCCTGCGGCTGTTCTGCTCTTCCGGGACTCACCAGTTTGCGCCTTCTTCTCAGAGAGGTGGTGTTCTTGCTGTTCCACCCCCCCTTCAGCTCCCGTGGGGAGTGGGCTGCTGGTGAGGGGGCAGCATGTCTCCGGGGCCCGGGCTGGTTGGGGGGTCTACAGGCACACCTGCCCAGGTGGACACGTGCTCTTTCTTCCATGCAGGTGTGCTCCCCAGAAGGGGGGCCGCTCCCAGCCAACCACTGGGACCAGAACGGCCCGGCCCAGCTCCAGCAGCAGCTCCAGCCCAGCCAGCCCCCGGGGTCACTCCCAGCCCCGTGTCAGCGCTGCCAGCCCCGTCGGGCTCTCCCGGACCCCGGGCAGCCCTGCCGGCCCCGGCGGCCGCTCCTGGCTCAGCGCAGCTGGCCCCAGCGGTCACTTCTGGGCCCAGGTCAGCCCTGCCGGCCCCGGCGGTCACTTCTGGGCCCAGGTCAGCCCGGCCGGCCCCAGCGGCTGCTTCCAGCCCCAGACGAGCACTGCCGGCCCCAGCGGTCACTCCTGGCTCAGCCCTGCCGGCCGCGTTGGGGGCTCCTAGGCCCCAGGCAGCGCTGCCGGCCCCTGAGGTCCCTGCTGGCCCCGTGCCACCTCTGCCGGCCCCTGCGCTCCCTGCTGGCCCCCTGGCACCGCTGCCGGCCCCTGCGCTCCCTGCTGGCCCTCTGGCACCGCTGCCGGCCCCTGCGGTCATGGGTGGCTCCCTGCCTCCGCGGCCAGCCCGGCAGGGCATCCTCAGGACAGCGGTGCCGGCCCCCACAGTCGCTCCTCCTGCTGTGTCCACGCCGCCGGCCCACCTCCTCACTTTCAGGCCAGTGTTGCTGCCCCCGGCGGGTGCTCTTGGGCCCGTGCCAGCCCCGGAGGTCCCTCCTGGGCCAGCCTAGCCGCCCCCAGGGGTCACTGCTGGGCCTCAGTCAGCCCCAGCAGTTAGTTGAAGCCCCAGAGCACCCTGGCCCCCCAAAACCTTCACTGCTGGGCCCTGGACAACCGTGCCAACAAAAGCGGCCACTCCTGGGCCCAGAACAGCCTCACCCGCCCAAGCGGCCACTCCTGGGCCCAGAACAGCCCTGCCGACAAAAGCGGCCCCTCCTGGGCCCAAAGCAGCCGTGCCAGCCCCTGCAGTCGCTTCTGGGCCCCGGCCAGCCCTGCAAACCCCAGCCTTTACTCCCCATCCCCGAGCGCCCGTCGCTCCTGGGCCGGCCTGCTCCGCCCCGTCGGCCCCTCCTGGGGCCGCCGAGCCAGCCGCGGCGCTCATTGCTGGACCTGGTTCGGGCCCATCAGCCCCAGCTCTCACTCCTGGCAGTGGGCCGTCCCTGCAGGCCCCTGAGGTCACGACGGACTCGATCCTCCACCCCTGCGGTGGCCCGCCAGGCCCCATCCGTGAGCCCTGGAGCCTGATGCCCATTTTCTGTACCATCCCGGGTGTGGCTGTGCTGGGCAGATGTGTTGCCAAGACTGGCCAGAGGCCTTCGCCAGACAGGCCGGGCCGTTGGCGGTTGGAAGCTGAGGCTCAGCAGAGGCAGCCCCCTGCAGAGCCGCCACCAGGCTGAGGCCCACCTGCACCAGGAGGCGAGGAGAGGACCCCCGGCGTCTTCCCACCTCCCTGCCACTCCTGTCCCCGTCGTGCCCACTACCCTGTGACGTACACACCCCTAGGAGAGCGAACACGGCTGCCCCGAAGGGCTCAGGCTTCTCGCAAGGGGTCCTCTGTGTCTCTCTGTGCCTCTGAAGTGCCCACGTGTCCTTGTATGTCGGAGTCTTTGTGCATACCCACCCCAGGCGTGTGCTGCCCAGCAAGTGCGTGTGTAAACGTGCGCGTGCAAACATGCGCATGCATGTATGTGGTGTGTGTGCCTATGTGCTGTGGCGTTTGCCAGCTGCAGGCCTTGCACTCCTTGGGCCCCAACCCAGCCTCCAGCGTGCATCCCCTGCCCCCAGGCCAGGAGTGGGCTCTGCCGGGGTCGGGCCACAGCCCTGCTCATCTCCCCTGAGCTCCCCTCATCACATCAGAGGGTGATGATGTGTGTCCACCTCCGGGGTTCTGTGAATGCGGGGAGGGGGCGGATGCAGGGGGCACTCAGGGCTGTCTGTGGCCACTTAGGACCTGCTGGTGACAAGGAAGGGGAGGGCCGCCCTGCCCCCACTACCACTCTGCCTCCAGCCCAGTGGCCAAGCACTGAAGCAGAGGCAGAGGGTCCTGTCCCACCAGCTCCGGACCCGGAGGGCCTGGGGCTGTTCTCAGAGCGCCTCCTCCTGGCCTCCCACCTAGCCTGTGCAGCCTTCAGCTGCCGGCCCCCCAGGGCCTTCCCTGTTGGGACAGACCTCACACTACAGGGCTTTCTCTGCCCTCCACCCACCCCACACCCATGCTCAAGAGTCACCCGTTCCTCACCCCAGACCCCTGGCTCAGGGCAGTCCCACACTGGTGCTCCCGGAGTCCTGGGCGTGAGGCTAGAGCTCAGCTCTGACTTTGGGGTTGAAGGGCCTCTGGGGGAGGGGACTGCAGGCCTCTCTGGGGAACGTGGGGGTGGCCCGGCTGTGCTCCCGCCGGCCTCCTGCGTGCCCAGTCTCACTGGGCCGCGACAGTCACCCCCATGCTGATCCTGTTCGTGGAGGCCTCGGGGTGCCCCCCCATCCACTCCTCTTGCCCTCTGGGGTCCCGACTGGGTGTGGGGTCAGCCCAGTGCCCAGAGCAGGGCCCACAGGCATCTGGTCCTCACCCAGGGTCTCCTTCCCAGAAACGCGGGGCTTATTTTTCTGATTAAAGAAAATAAAAAGTGCCGTGCCATTATTTTTATAACAGTATCCGTGAGTGTGTGTCATACGTGAACTGATTTATTCCCATGAGTGGTTTTCCGCACATCTGGACTTGCCTGCCTTTACTGCATGCCTGCCGAGCACCAGCGCAGCCCGGGGAAGGGTGCCCGGGGAAGGGTGCAGGGCCTGGACACGGCTCGCCATGCTGTGGTGTGTGTTCGGGGGGACTGTGCTCACCTTAATCGCTGTCCAGTCTGCCGTGGCCGGCCACCCCCCCTTGTCCTGTCCCTCGGAGCCCACACTCTGGAAGGAGTCTCTTTCTGGGGCCGCAGAAGGCATCTCAGGCTTGTCACCGATGCCGGTGTTCCCACCACCCCACCCTGAGCCCTGCTGACCCGAGGGCGGCAGTGCCGATATCTTCCCCGTGGGTCCTCTGCTGGCTCGTGTCTGGGCGTGTCCTGTGGGTGGGCCAGGCAGGGGTGAACCCAGTGGCCACCACCTTCTAGGCCTTTCTGCCCTGGGAGTGTTGGCCCTGGCACTTGAGTGCCTGTGTGGGGGAAACGGTGCTGGTCAGCAGGAGAGGGTGGGAGGCCACAGCCCCCCGTAAGCTGGGCCCACTTCCTCCCCATCCGGAGCGACCCCACCGTGGGTGAGCCCCACAGTGCCCTTGAGTCCTCGCCTGATGACTTGCTGAGGAAGAGGCTCTCATTCCACGTGAACCCAGGGGACCCCCGCAAAGCCCTAGATGACCCCCACACGCTGTGGCCACAGCTGGCTTTGGGTTCAAGGTGACGAGGCGCCTGCATCCGGTGGGGGGCTGCACTACGCGGGCTTGTCTTGCCCTGAGGAAACGAGAGTCCTGTGTGGCCAGACCTTGGAGATTCTCAGAGCGGCTGGTAATCTGGGTCTTCCTGTGGATTTGGAGGTTGTGAAACAGCGCTCGTTCCAATGTCATGAACCAGCTTGCTGGCCGAAGGATGCAGCTTCGTGGGCCCTGCGTGGCCGGGGGTGGACAGAGCCTTGGGCCCCAGCAGCTTAGTGTGACCCCAAGGCCAGAGGTGTGGGGTATGGCCTGCCCTGTTTTGGGGAGAGTGGGGGCAGCTCGGCCTGAAGTTTGGGGGGTGGAACGAGTCCTTGGGTGCTGTGGGTCCCAGGGGACCCCTCGGAGGGTGACGGGAGCCTGGGCGCAGGGCTTTGCTGGGGTCCTCCGAGGAGCCCGCCCCTTGCAAGCCTCCATCTCCCCGTTGGCGGATGGGGCCTGGGAGGGGACCGTGCCCAGTCCCTGCTAGGCCCCTGAGGAGCAAGGACAGCGGTGGTGGGTGTGGTTGTTCGCAGGGAGGGGAGAGCCCTGGGCAGGGTGAATGCAGTGGGGGGTGGGATAGCCGTGGGAGGGGAGAGCCCGCCTGGGCACAGGGACCCTGGGCCGGCCTCATCCAGTGCGCACCCAGGTCACCCGGTCCAGGGCTCCTGGGGAGAGCCCGCTGCACCATGGATACCTCTGTGTGTGTGTGTGTGTCCCCGTGTCCCCGACGGAGTGTGGCGGTGCTCCGCGAGCAGGCTCCCAGCTCAGGTGAATGCCAGGGCCTTCCCGTCCTGCCCTGTCACACA